TGAAATTAAAAAAAAAAATGAACTTCTTAAATTTAAATAAAATTATTTCATCACAAAGGAAGGGCATCAGAATGATGATGAAGAAAGTAATAATAAACAGAAAAAGGAGAACATTACATGAAATATGTAATGTGAGAAAGTTTTGGCCTCCTAAAGATCAATATTGTTAAATATTTAAAATTTTTTTTTATTCTCAAAGTTAAAATACTTTATGTTTATCTACTGTTTAATATTAATTTTCAATAAAACTTTTATTTTTTTCATGACAAATGATTTCGAAACAATAACTGTTGTTCTATTAAACGCGATTGTTCCTGAAACTGACAGGCAATATCTAAATAAAAATAAAATACCTCCATTGATTCCTGCAAAACATGGTTTACTTAGGCAATAACTGAATAACTTTATTAATGAACTCATTAAATATTGAACTTTTTAAAGTTTAAGAGTTTCGCCAATATATCCTTGGGGGCTTCCCACTCCAAAAATTCTTCTTTCTCTCATCAAATTTACTAAAAATGCCTTATACATATAAACAGGAGTTACTCAAACTTCAAGACAGACTGAGTGATACTTACTTTATCTACAGTGACGACTCGAAGAGCTCCTGAGTGTGGGAGTATCAGTTACATGTAACGAACGACAACATTTTTTTCTCTTTCTCCACCATGTAACAATTATACTGGTGAATTGGTTGCAATACATACAAGTTTAAGTGTTATACATCTCACTAAACAAAAAATGGTCATATTCGCAGATTATCTATTCGCCTTAATTAGTCTAGGAAATGTCTCATCTAATATCATCATACAAAACATTCTGTTACAAATAGAAATAATATGTTAGTATTTTTTATCTGGGTCCCTGGACATTGCGGAATAGCCGGTAATGAACTGGCTGATCGAGCTGCAAAAAAAAGCCGTTACTGATGGAATACCTTATGGGGAAGTACCTGTAGAGGATTTTATAATCATCATCAAACGGAAAATGAAGACAAAATGGGAACATATGTGGTCGAATGTAACTCAAAATAAATTGAGGAAGATTAAGGGTGACGTTTTTTCTATGGCATCGTCAAATAGGAATAAGCGCAGAGTGGAAGTAATTCTTACGCAACTGAGTATAGATCATACCCTACATATCCATGGATACCTGATGGCCCGTGATTCTTCGCCAACATGGCAAACCTGTGGGACTCCCCTGACAGTGAAACACATTTTAACAAAATGCAGAGCTTCCGAAACATTTAGACTATCTTGTGACTTGATTAACGATTTACATATCATTTTACAAGACAATAAAAATGGAATTGACAAATTGTTTTATGTTCTGAAATGTTCGAAACTTGAAAATAGAATCTGATTAAGAAAAAACAAATTTAAGTCATTGGATAATGGGTGATTCTGCTTACAATTGGTTTGATGAGAAGAAAACATTGATAAACTCATAAAGTGTCAAAACCCATAAAGAAATCTACAAACCTTTAGTAGTAACTTGTCGAGTATGCCGCATAATAAACTACGGTAATTTTTATTTATTTTTATTTACGGTAAATAAAATGCAGTAGTTTTTAAGAATCCTAGAAATATAACTAATAATTACGTATCAATAAAGACGACTGGCTAACGGTTTGAACACAAAGTTTGGTCTATCAGCTCATCCGTAATTTCAGATAGCTAACCCGAAAGTTCTGTTATCCATTTTTAAAATTATTGGATGCCATAATATTTTGTAATGATTTTCTTGTTTTATGATTCGGTATATTTGTTATATAATTCAAGTTCAGGAAAGATTTGATCAGTGGTATTTTATTTAAATTATGTAGCTCTAAGATGAGTCGTTAATTATTCGTGAAGGAAGATCTTTAACGACGATACTGACCTTCTCAAGCTCCGTAGGAAGGCGATCTGGTACATCACTGCCATCCTTCAAGATTATGTCATTATATACGTCCGTATATCACGTCACGGTAGATCGCATAGATTCATTTTTTTTTTTTTAGTAGGCCTCAAATATATATACGGTATACCTATCCAATAACTGATAAAAAGATTTCTTATTACTCTTTGTTCTGAATATTTGGAAAATATCGAAATATCGATATTTAAAAAATAATGTATTTAACAAATCTATTTATCCATATTAAAAAATCTGCCGCGGTGCGCGCATCACACATTTTTCACATATCACCCTCTTTTTAGCAAGAATAATTATTTTCAGACTAAGCGAAGTTAAAGTAAAAATTGTAGACGGTTCGAAACATCGTTTAAAACAATTAATTAATATATATAATATATATAAATTTATAGCCGTCTGATGTATTATATTTATTTTGTTTGACACTAGTTATTTCCTTTGACAACTGTATGTGTCAGTTATATATTTGATTATAATAAATAATTAAGTGCCAGGAAATATTTTTAGTTCTACAACAGTGCCATGCTTATGCCATGATGAGAATCGGTTAATTTAAGAAGCATTTATTTTATAATTGAACAGTGACTTATTTCTAAATTGTAGAGAAGTCTTTCCCTTATTTTCTTAAATAGTTTTAAAACCATGACTCATTCGTTGATGGAGTTGAACTTCTGATATTTCGGAAATACTAATCATAATTGAGAGCCTTTGTCATTACGGTTTTGGAAATACACCGGCTTCGAAGTAGCATGTTTCCACTGGTAGAGCCAAGTAGTGCCAAAAGTTCAAAGTGATGGAATTAAATTAGAATAGAATAGAAAATTAAACTTTATTCTGGGACTAAGTCCCTTTAGAATAACAATGATGAGTTAATACAAAGTAAAGTACAAATCTGGCCAAAAACTAACTTATAAAAATTTTAATGTTATATACATTATTTAAAAAGTATGTAACCAGTAAAAAATAAAATATATATACAAATGAACATAAAATCTTCTCAAAATTACTTAATTGTGATGAAAAAAAAGAAGAGAAATTGCATATTTATATATACATAACTACACAATTTATAAACAATAGGCTATCTAATAGAAAACTAACTTAATACAAAATGTAATTATATCTACAGTGTTTTATATAATAATATGCAGACACTAAGATAAAATAAAATCTTACGATACTTGTGGTGTAATGGAAAAAAATAAATAAATAAAAGGAACTATTTATACGTTCATTCTCATATTGGCACACATAAAGACAAAGATATAAAATATAAACATATATAACCGAAAAAAAAGCACAACCTGAGGAGAAGAGAAAAATTAATAAATAGTAAAAATAATAGTCAAACTAGGTGACAAAGATCATTGCTGTTTTATGTTAAAACTTAAACAATAGGCACCATTATTTACTTCACGCAAATTCAGCTCATAAAATGAAATTTATGGTGGTAAATCTTCTGTTTGGGATGTAAAGAGATATTGGAAAAGGAGGTATTTGAATGTTGACAGGGAAGAGGCATGACGGATGATATGTGGCAAAAAATTCCAGTAGGAGACGGAACGGGCTAAGAAGGAACGTTCATAGGTTTTTGTCCTGTGGAATGGAATATAGAGGTCAGAAACACGAGATCTCGTTTTTAATGAGTGGACTAAGGATTTAGGCTGGAGGAGACAACAGATATAGGAAGGGTGCTGGGAGTTGATCGTTCGGTATAAGAAATTTCCAAGGAAGTATAGGCGGCGGGAAGAGGGGAAGAGCCACTTTGACTCGGCATATAAGTGGGACACATGAGACCATCTCGAACTGCCGAAGACGAATCTTAAAAAACAGTTCATGATTCTCTTCAGTTTGTCCTCAAGCTCCAACGAGAGGCCACCGTATACCACACAGCCATATTCAAAGTAGGGGAAAATCAATGAGGAAACGAGGAGCCTGCGGATAGGTTGTGGGAGATGCTGACGAGAACGATGAAATAATTTAAGAGTACCATTAGACCTTCTGGAGATTTGAGCAATGTGGGGTTTCCATGATAGGTTTTGATCAATGGTAATTCCTAAGTTTTTTACAGAGGAGGTGAAGGAGATTGGTTGGTCATTAATAATCAAGGAAGGATGGGTGGAAATAGATCTAAGGAGGGTTGGAACCTATAAGAATGGCCTGAGTTTTCGTTGCATTCAACTTTAATTTATTCAAGCTTGCCCAGGCAATTATCCTATCTAGGTCTATCTGAATATTCGTAAACGCTTCTAATAACTCAGTGGGCGGGAAGGAAAAATAAATTTGGGAGTCATCAGCATATAGATGTTATGAACAATGGTGGATTGAACTAGGAAGGTTATTGATGTAAGAATTAAAAAGGATAGGAGAAATGCTTGAACCCTGGGCTACTCAATGAGACAAAGTGAGGAAAGAAGATAAGGGTTGATTCGGAATACTAACGGCTTGAGTCCTGTCAGAAACAAAGGATTGGAACCATTGGATAGAACTATTGGAAAAGGATAGAGATTTAAATTTATTGAAGAGAATAGAATGGTCTAAGGAGTCGAATGCTTTGGAGAAGTCCAGGAGTACTAATACAGTCAGTTTTCTTTCGTCAATTGCAGAATGTATGTCATTTGTGATTTTAGCTAAAGCGGATTGAGTGGAGAAGCCTGGGCGAAAGCCAGATTGGAGAGGATCTAAAAGTTTGAACTCTTCGAGATAATTGAAAATTTGGGATTGGACTATTCTTTCGGGGGGTTTTGACAGATTTGAGAGGATGGAGATTGGACGATAGTCTTTAGGAGAGGTGGGGTTAGGGATTTTTTTATTTATTTCCAAAAAAAATAATTTAGTATTGAGTTAATTGAAACAAAGATTAGATAGGCATTGATGACCTAAATTTCATGCTGTTAATAAATATTCATAGGGACAGAATTGGAAGTTAAAATAACATGTGAATGGGAACCGTTTAAACTATCTAGAAAAAGATAAATGTTTCGAGAAAAGTGACTGTCAACTCCTAAAATAGAGTAGTGCTAGTTAAAAGGACATTGAGGCAAGACGAAGAGGTAAATATTGGCGACGCGATGTGAGTGTGAATGGGGCGAGGGAGTGGTCAGTTGTGGGCGACATCGTGTGCCATTGCACAACTCCGACCAGCTCCTCCCTTTTCCATCGGAATCAGGTTTACCTCTTATTTTTTTAAGGTAACCTATATTGTTTATAAAAAACTTTAAGAATTGTTTCTTAAAATTCACTTATTTTGGTATATAATTAGGTACCTACGTCACTTTTCTTTCTTCTTTAATCTTGTATACTCGTTTTGGAGGGATGGTTAATCTCGAAGAAATTGAGATGAATGTGACTTTATTTATTGTATAAAAAATTAAAAAAAAACAGCTAGTATTAATATAAAGAAAACTGATTCAAAGAAATTAAAAATAATTTAAGGAAGAATCTTGTGGACAGGACTTAAGATGAGAGATTACTCAAGCCTTCTGAAATATATAAATATATTAGAATTTTAGCTAGAACCTCAAGTGGAATCACTACATAATAGCAGATTGGTTGATTTTTTACTTGAGCTAGACTGGTTCTTTCTTTGAGGGTCATTTCCTTAATACTTTTTTTGAGATAATAGTAATAATAATAATAATAATAATAATAAGACAGATGTCCCTTGGGACTGAGAAATGCGCAGTTCTTCACGTTATAAAAGGAAAACCAAATAATTCCGAAAACTTGTTAAATGAAGAATATCATATTAAGAACCTTCAGAAAGAAGATATGTATAAATATCTAGGGATAGAACAGCATTTAAAAATAGCTAGAAAGGATGTAAAAGGTAAATTGATAGGTTCATTTAAAAAAAGACTAAAGATCATCCTTAGAACACATCTTTCTTCAGGTTTAATGATAAAAGCCATAAATACATGGGTTATTCCTTCCTTATCTTACAGCTTTGGAATTCTAAAATGGTCCACAACGTCACTCCAGGAATTAGATAGGTTAATAAGAACAAGTATGACGGGTTCCAGAATGCACCACCCGACTGCATCTATGGCAAGGCTTTACCTGCCAAGAAAGGAAGGAGGGAGAGGTCTTACAAATATTGAAGAGTCTTGTCGAAATCAAGAAAAGAACCTAAGGGAGTACTTTAAACAAAGCGCAGTGCCGTGTCATAAGATAATCTGCAATCTCGATCGCGGGCACACTGCTCTACAATTAGCCTCTCATGAAACTGCGCCAATCTTTGTTACCGACAAAGACCGCATGGAAGAATGGAAGTCAAAAGCATTACATGGAAGGTTTTTTCACCAGCTTCAGCAGACTGAAATAGATAAATCTTTGTCTGTTAGCTGGCTGGTAGGAGGAAGTCTGTTTCCCGAGACTGAAGGTTTTTTAACTGCAATCCAGGACCAGGTTATAGCTACCAGATCCTACTGGCGACACGTCTTGAAGCAACAGAATGTATCGGACAAATGTAGGCACTCTGCAAGCACATATGAGACCATTCAACACAAAACAGCACGCTGCCGAGCTCATGCATGTACAGAAAACCAAAAAAGACATGACGATGTTGCCAAAGTCTATCACCAGGCAATTGGTCTAAAAATTAAATTATTAAACGACTCGAAGCCCTACTATAAATATTGCCCTAAAGGTATTTGCCAGAAAGATGACTTAAAATTATATTGGAACCAATCGTTCATAACAGACCATCTCGTGATCCACAACAGACCTGATATTGTATTAATTGACGGTAATATTAAGGTGGCTGAAATTATAGATATCGCTGTGTCAAATGACGGAAACATTAACTCAGTCTGCGCAGAAAAAATTCGGAAATATCAAGGTCTAGCAGCTGAGTTAAAAAGTTTGTATAAACTTAATAAAGTAACCGTTAGGGGCATCGTGATCTCCAGCAATGGCCTGGTACCGGTGTCTACTGTGGAAGCTACTGACAGGCTGGGCCTCCCAACTCATGTAATAAAGGAAGCTCAGAAAGCGGTGCTGCTGAATACTGCCAGAATTGTAAGAAGCTTTGTCAACATTCAATAGTAATTAAAATTGAACATACCTGAGGTGGTTGGAGTTGATTCTCCCCCTCTCAAGTAAACAAAAAAAAAAACCTTTTGTAAAAGTGTTGACAAATAAAATAATAATAATAATAATAACACCTTATTAATTCTGAGACAGTTTCCTTTAGAATAATATATGGAGATAGGGATGTGGGATTAATAGCCTCAGAGAATAATCACAAAAAAGAAAAAACAAACAGACTTAATAAATAAAAAAGTATAAGTTATCTTCTAACTTTATCAATTAAGATAAAATGAAATAAAAATATTTAATGAATGTTTAATTGAATATTTAATGAAATAATAATTTATGTGGGCCGGTATAGCAGAGTTGTTAGCAAGCTATATTAGTAAAGTAAAGATCATTGGTTCGAATCCCGGCCCTACTTCCTACAACGGCTAGTCCCCGCGGGAAGTTAGAACATCTTCTCCCTTAATCAGGGGGAGGGGGGCTACAAGCTGGTAAACATACTTGTACGAACAGGCTACCAAAAAAAACGTAAGGATTTCAAGTACTGACGGTATGGTCAGTACTTGAAGCCCTTCCGTGCTCAAACCACGCCCTGAAGATGACCCACATGTTGGCAAACATAAAAATATATATATATATTTTAAAAGACTCCGCCCTGAATATTTATCACCCATGAAATGTAGAACAGTCGACTAGGTTCCTTCAGTAATTCATATACATATTTACAACACCTATTTACAATTTTATGGAGACTGTACTGATAAGAGATGATTGAAAAGTGGGATTTAACGATGGGGATGGTACTGGAGGAACGGATGTAAGGAGAGATAGAATTCCATTGGGGTGAGAATCAGATAATGAAAGATCTGATCGGATAAAGAAGAGATTGGTCTAAAATTTTGGTTCATTTATCTGTAGTTTTATATTTCCTGGTTTAAAACTATGGAGAATTTATTTAGTGTTTTTAATAATATAAAAAAAACCTGTTGACCCCAAAACCTTGGTGTATATTACTAGGGCATACGCTGTCAGAATTTCTTAAGTCTTTCATGATTAATAAAATAAGTGACTGTAGAAAAAAAGTCTTGAGTTTTTTTAACATTATTTTACATTTTTTTAATGGACGTGCACTAATCCATAAGCTGATTTTTATCTCAATAAAAAATGGTGAAATGTGTAGTCAAAGGGTTTCCCCTATGTTATTTAGCTATACATATTACTATTATTTCTGGCTTTCTTATGAAATACAAAAACTGACCGTTTAGCATATGTAAATAGATTATTATAAAGAAGCTAAAATCCAAAAATGAATACTTAGAATACTACTGGATTTTTCTCAACACAATGATTTAAGTCTATATAATGCAGGGAAACTACTAATCAGTGAACTATTTGCCCGACTGCGATGACAATAGCTTCTGGAACTTAACATAATTACACAGCAGTATTTATTTTAGAACTTATACCCTTAAAATAAGCACCGCATTAATATTAATATTGTATATTTTCGTTCTGAAAGATTTTTTTTTAAACGTCCTTTATGCTGTACTGCTCTATGTGGTCTGAAGTAATACGTTTGAGTTGACTATAGGGTAATGCAATGGGTCTTTTGAGCCCATTAGTAGGAAATTGCCCATTAATTTGCAATTCAAAGTTTGAGCACTCCGTCTATTGATACACTATACTGGAATCGCTAAATTTCTTTCACTGTTTCCAAAATAAGTTATCATGATGAATCTGATATCAGATAACTGTTATCAAGTAAATAGCATGCAAAATAAATCATATTTTAAAATAACACTAATAACAAAGGAATATTTTTTTTTATCTTTATCAACATGTTAGCTATATTTATCGGAACAGAGCTTTGAAAACTTAATGTTAAAATGATCTAGGGCTCCTCGTTTTAAGTTAGCTTTAACGTACTTAAGTACTACTAGTCTATGAGTATTTAAGTACGTAAAAGCTGCGTTTTAAGCATATTAACATAATCACAACTATAGCAGCTACTGTAGTAGAATTTCTGGGATCAAAACATTAATACTAACAGACTCGAGTTTCGCAGCTTCAATAGAATCAACTCTTAAGTAATTTATAACTATTTTATGTAACTAAATTTAACACTGTGGCTCTAGTGCCCTCTTTCAGTTTCCATTGGCTTCTAATACTAGTGATGCGGCTGGAAAAGTGGCGCTGGGATCTTCCGGAGTCTTGCTTTGCCTTCCACGTGTGGGGGAAAAAGCCTGGCTCGGAGATTCTTGGGCGAATGTATATATTATATAGGTATGATTGTGTTTAGAAATTTTATTTTATTTTATTTGTTTATTTTTTTTATTTAACTTCTTCACCAGTATTATTTATTTACTTCTTATATTTATATTTAATTCTTTATTATTTGTATATATTGTATGAATGAGAACTTTTAGGCCCTCCAGCAGTGGCTGATTGTATTATTATTCAATAAACAGATTAAAAAAAAAAATTATTAAAAAAATTAATGGAAAGAGTTGTATAAATTAATTTGCTTTATTGAATAATTAATATTGCTTTAATGTGAAAATATTGTCATTGATAACAGAGAAATTAAAATTTTATTTTTTATATTGTAAGCCTTAATCACATCTTGAGTGGTGTGAAAAGTACCTACTTTAATCCTAAGTGATTTTTTTTACCAGTGAAGAATATCCTGCAGAAATGAGGTTGCAGGAATCCATAAGAATAAATACCATTGGCCTTGGTGAAGTTACTAAAAATTGTACGAATAGAAAAAAAATGATAAACTAACATATATTTCAATTCTTGTGTATTATAAGAATTAGAAGATGTAATTTCTTGTTTAGAACTTAAGAATATTTTAATAAAGATAGTGAAAATACAAACTCTGGTTCTGCTAAGTTTAAGCGATATAAACGGTTGATAGGAACACACTGAGGAAAAGGAAAGGGTTTGTCCTACAATCATCCACAAGAAGTAAAGTAGACATTAATCCAGTAGATGCTTCCTCAATTGATGACATATTTGGGTTGATATAAACATGTGTAATATATCCTTTTAATGTATCGTAAACGTTTTTGTTGTAATTTTCAAATATTTTTTAATGGCTAAATGACCTCAATGGTTGACCGAACAGTTTTTTTTTTTTAAATAATCTATTAAGATGTACATCTTTATATATATTTTTAATCAAAATTAATTTGCTGGAATCATAAGTCAGTATGCGATCAAGGAGGAGGAAAAAAACCAAACAAGAAAAATACAAAAAAAAATATTACAACACAAAAGAAAAAAAATCATTAACCCTGATCACAGACTAATAATTAATTTAATCCCGATTAATTTATTAAAACTAACCTCTTTCTCGTAGGTTTCTACTGATCAACTTAGTTTCAGAATGATATTTCTTGTGATGATATTTTTTATTTTTTTTTTTATTTTAAACCAGAATTTTAAAATTAAATTATCGGGAATTCTACTTCATACTTACCAGGACTTGAAATCGATAATTATCTTTTTAACAAAACTATGAAATAATTATTATATTTGATTTTCATTTAAAAATCATGCCTGATATATGAATATAAATTTCATTAGATCTTTAATGTCTATGAATTCGATTAAAAATGATGATCACTCACTGAGTGATACGATTTTACATAAATAGTAATGATTAAATTGCAATTAAAAAATTTTTAACGCGGAAATAGAAACCATCTTTTACACACAAATTAAATAAAATATTAATATGTATGTATACGTTATTAATGTACACATTTTTTAATATTCTTCTTCTTATTCTTCCATGTGCCTTTTATGAAATAAATAAAACCTATTTATTTGTTATAACTAATTTAATAATTAAAATTAAACATTAACATTCATATTAAATGTTGTTCAAAGTGAAGGAGTTACAATATTTTAATAGGTCCTCATTTCTAGCCGCATCAACTCAATGCGGGCATATTTCTGGAATTTCTCAATAATGATTAGTATGATTTAGTTGATCATATACCACTTACACTGAGAAGGAACTATGTGGCTTCAATTAGATGGTTGCTCTGCTCACTACGGAAGAGATCCACTACAATTGTTAATGTTAATTATCCCAAACGATGGATTAGCCGTGCAAGACCAGTGGCTTGGTCTGCACGCTCTCCAGACCTGACACTATTGCTTTATTTGTTTGGGATGAAATTAAACAAAACATCTATACAAGTCCGGTCAATGATATTAATTCCTTACGAAGAAGGATAATTGAATCTTGTGAAACAATAACATATATCCAGTGCCGTTCTGCCACTGCCGCTGATGAAGAAAGATGTCGAGCCTGTCTTAATGCTCAAGGAAATCGTTGAAGAACGTTTAATATGAACTTAATGTTTACGTTTAATTAATAAAGTAGATGGACCAAATAAATAAGTTGCATTTACTTAATATAACGTAAATAATTCATAACAATGAAAATCTTTAGGTGTGAATATCTACTAAACTAAGCATTTCGGGACTTGTCTTCAAAGGATTTTATTTCTTGTTTTGAGGTCCTTAATTCATATTTTCAGTTTGTACACTTCATCATGAAACACCCTGCATACATATTTGTTTATTTATTAATTTTTTTTTGTAGGTCAAAATTTCTAATGAATTTTGGAAATAAAGATGATCTGTTCCTAATAGTTGACAACAACATTCTTCACCAACTACTCCATACTCAAAATATATCATAGAGATTATAAAAAAATATATTTCTGATTTTAAAAATTATTATATCGACGCCTTTATTTTTACTGTATCATTTTATATTAAATATAGAAGATTTGTCTTTTCATCCATATATAAAAGTAGTATAATATAAATCTGTTGGCAAGCCTTCACTTGCGAAACTAGGTTTAAAAATGATAAATGGCTTTCTCATGGTAATAATCAATCAGAATGATCACTCTTGACTAGGTCCCGAGTATGATTGATTTGCTTTCAACCCCTTGCATTCTCTAATTAATTCATAGCTTGCTCTTTACTCTTTCTCTTTAGTGAGTGCTAAACGGTGGTAATAGTTGTATGTACTACAGATAAAACAATACTCATTAATCGCATTAATTGCCGTTTCGAAAATTCAATCCATGGATTAAAATATTACCTAAACCAAAATTTTATATTATTTTTTCTGCTAAGAAGAAAAGAAAATCAAACAAAAATAATGCAATTTTTATTATTTTTTAATACAGTTTTTCCTTTCAATAAATAATAAAAAGTAATAATATAAACTATTAATAGACCAATTATACTACTTCTTGAAAATAAACGAAACATTCCTTGAAGTGACAGTGGAAAAGCAAACAAATTAAATATATGTTTTTGAAATTACATAAAACTATACGAAGATGTGATTTCTGCTTGTAAAAAAAATTATAGTAATGATAGAACCCACAATTCTATGCTGAAAAACCTTTAAATACCTTAGAAGGATTATATCGATTTTGGGAAAAGAATAAGTAACAAGTAGATTTGGTGTAACAAGTAAATTATTTTTATTCATCCAACTTAATTGTTACAGTCGTGTTCATTCAAATGATATTGAGTTTTATAATATAAATATGTATTAAACGTAAAACATTACGTTCATAGTAAAAATAAATTCAAACAAAACAGTTAGGTTGGATATGATTATGAAAATAACAAAGTATAATCATTATTACTTCCATACATATTATAATTTGAATTTAAGATAAAGGTAAACAGAAACATAGATACCATGTATGAAATATTAATTTTTTTTTTTTTTTTACTTCTAATAATTATTCTATGTTGACTTCATGTCATCTGAAATGTTATCAATATATTTACTTAAATACTTATTTCTAGATGCAGTATATACAGGACAATGGAACAGAAAATTACATAAATCTTCAGGTTCGGGTATATTACGAATAACGGATATGATATCACGATGAGCATATATGTATGATATATGTGCCATTTGTGCAAAATATGCTTTATTAAGTTCTTCATGTTTTTTTTTTTTATTTTTGAATTACTAGTTATTACTATTAACCATTTGTAACTATAACTAGTATTATTTTAGTAGTAATCATAACTAATAATTTTTCATCAGCCGTGGATCGAATTAATTATGGTAAAATCTGGCTGTTGAGCGTGATCTCGTCCTAATCACCTCCCTGCACAACCGTTGGTCTGGTAACAGTACATCCTCACATAGTACTGAACCCAATACCGTTCATGGGTTATAGTATTACAGTTTTTTTTTTTTTTAATGTATGAATACTAAGTCACTGTTAGAAGAAGATAGTATGCATATTTTTTTTTTTTCAAACTTTAAATATGTTCTTAGAGCAGCGATGGACAAAATCGGAATCAATGATTGCATGATTACAAATGAAAATTTAATTTAATGATTATGTCAATTTTATACTTGATTCTACAGCGCTATAAATATAAAGAAAATCTGTACATTTTACAATAAACATTAATTATGATTGTAATAAAAAGTTAGTTTTCCTTTATTGTATCAAAGAGTAAATCACGCAATCAAAATCACTGTATACGCAATCACGTGATCATAATTACTGTAATCGTAATCGTTGATTATTCTATGGTTTAAGTCGCGTTAAGCACTATGTATAGATAGTCGTCTATTGATTGCTTAATGAAAGGTGTATAGGACACTTATATGCCACTTTGATTCAATAAAGGATAACTAAAACACTTTTGTACATTTATGATTAAGGTTTACTGTAAAATGTACAGAATTCTAATTATTTTGTTTCAACTCAATATGGATTTCTATCATGTCAAGGATGAATAAAATGATATTTATCAAATCATATTGTATTCTTTTTTGAGATTTTTTAGAGCTTACATTTGTTAGGATTAATAAAAATTAATAATCCCGTCCTTGAAGCAACACTTTTTACATTTTCAAATCCAAAAATGTCTAGAAAAATACTTCTAGGTTAGTTAAGTAGATCAATATTTATTTTAAATTCAGTTTGTCACATAAAGAACTCTTCTTGACCCTGAACTGATTTTAGATGGAGCTGGTAGTATATATTCTGCTCCGAAGGGAGTGGACCACATTCACTCCTCTCCACCAGGTCCAGGACAGCACCACCACCAAACATGTACAAGATCGTAAGTAGTCGTCTCAGCGATACTTCATCCCTTCTATCTGTCCCACATTTATCACAGTTATTTTTATTAAAAGAATTAAACTTTAAAATTAAATTTAAAAAATCAAATAAAAAAAAAGTTTTAAATCATAATCATCATTACTGCTACCATTATAACCATTATATCTTGTTAATGAACTTAAGTAAACTGTTTAATAATTATAAATTTGATTTTTTTATGTTTGTTAAATATAGATTAGGAACTTTTAAGTAGCGACGGATATTAGTTAAGATAAATTAATTTAATTATATTTCTGTAAATAATAGAAACTTGACAATTACAATCTTCCAAAATGAACTCACAAAAAAATAATCAAATATTTTCTTTTCTATTTTTACGCAACTATATGAAATTTTAAAAACAATGTTACATGTAGTTTTTTTTTTTTAAGTAATATTAACTTTACGTTTACCATCTCGTTTACATTCCATTATAAAAGGAAAATATAAATTTAGATTATTAAATAAGTTATTATTAATCAATCCCATAGATAGATTTAGGTTAAGGATAATTAATACATTTTGAATCATGTTAACGCCTTTCACAGGTCGCACTCTTGGCTCTCTTCGCCTGCGCCAATGCTGGCTACCTTGGAGGTTACGCTGCTGCCCCAGCACTCAGCTACGGCGCTAGCTACGGCTATGGAGCTGGATACGGTTACGCTGCACCAGCCGTTGCAACCGTTGCCCATGCTCCAGCTATCTCTTACGCCGCACCAGCTGTCGCTACTGTAGCTCATGCTCCAGTCGCTGTAGCTCATGCCCCAGTCGCCACATCCTACTCTAACACTTACAGGACCGTCAACAAACCAGTTGCCGTTGCCGCTCCAGCTCTCTCATACGCTGCTCCAGCAGTCTCTTACGCTGCCCCAGCTGTTTCTTACGCTGCCCCAGCTGTTTCCTACGCTGCCCCAGCTGTTGCCACCGTAGCTCATGCTCCAGCAGTGTCCTATGCTGCCCCAGTCGCCGCTGTAGCCCACGCTCCAGTCGCTACCTCCTACGCTAACACCTACAGGACCGTCAACAAGCCTGTAGCCGTTGCCGCTCCAGCCATCTCCTACGCCGCCCCTGCTGTCGCCACCGTCGCTCACGCTCCAGCAGTTTCCTACGCCGCTCCAGCTGTCTCTTACGCTGCCCCAGCCGTAGCTACCGTAGCTCACGCTCCAGTCTCCTACGGTCTTGGATACAGGTCCTCATACGGTCTTGGATATGGATACGGTCTTGGCTATTCCTCCCTCCTCCATCACTAAGCTTCTGTGAAGTTTGTGGTACCTGAAGTCAATTCATGTCTAGAAAACTTAATTTATGTAAATAGGTATTTAAATAAATAATTTATATCTGTATATTTTTTTATTTTATTTTATAATCAACAACTATCAAAAAGATAGTAAGTTACTAAATAATAATAATAATAATAATAGAGTATATTGTGTACCACCTTACAATATGTAGTTGTCGTCAAAATAGAAGCAAAATAATGTTTACAAATATTTAAACTTCAATATAGTAGTAGTTTAATAAGTTTGATTATGTTGCTTTCCGCCTCCGGAGGATACTTCAAACTCTATACGAACAAATTTACCAGCATCTGTAATAATTAATGGAAAGCACCCGATTACTAAAACAAGTTTAAACATTAGTAGATATCAATGTTCATAAAAATGTACCAAGGCGTTTATCTAAATAGTTAAGCAAGTACATCCCCATTTGATTGATAATAATGCCGATTTCTGTAGTCTTAATATTATTAGAAATATTTTTTAGTTTTTAATTTTTTTTTAGTGTTTCCAGCATTAACTACTGACAATCAATACATACACACAAAAAAACACATACAAAAACAAAAACCAACTTAAAATGATAAGAATTAAATTTCAATTAAATTTTTTTCAACATTTTGAGATCAAATTGTTTCAAATCATTTCAGAGACCATTTTGAAAGATAAAACTTAGAAATCTGTATACACGTTCATTTCATAAGTTGTTAGATATCTTTTACCCAACAAACTAATTATATTTTATACAATAATTTGTTCTTATTTTGAACTCAAAATGTTTTAAAACTCTCGCTAGATTAATTTGTGCCATCGAACTTAACGATCGGCCAAGCCGTTTCATAATAATTAAAAATCTTGACTTATGTATGAGTGGTCAACCAAATCACATAAACCACCTTGTGGCTAATTGTAGGATTGTAAATAGGTTTATTATTTTCAATAATGAACCATTGTAATCGTCGTTATTCAAGTTCAACTAAATTTAAGAACTTGAACCCCTCGAAATTTGAGGTTTAACGCTTCAAGATACGTAAAACTTGAATGTTCATAAAAATGTACCAAGGCGTTTACCTAAGTAGTTAAGCAAGTACATCCCCTTATGATTGAAAAGAATGCCGATTTCTGTAGTCTTAATTTTATTAGAAATATTTTTTAGTTTTTTTTTTTTTTAACTAAAATCGAATAAACAATTTGTTGATCTCTCATCATATTTTCTTCCACTCTCTATTAAGCGAAATTTTTTATTCCACGATTATCACTTTGATCAGATATTATTAGACTGTCATCCTATTTATAATTTTCCTTTAAATAGTACATGGTATATATAGCCATTAACTAGGCACAGTAATCACTACTAACGTCTCCTTGAGGAAGGTTTAGTGTACCAATTTCATCATTTATGTGAATATGGGAGATTTAGTTCGAAAGTATCTGAAAAAAAAACTGGTTTGAGTAAGCACTGGTGGATGAAAGTTCCAGAAAATAAAATCCTTCCAGTCATTATGGACAGTCCAAAGCCAAAAAAAGAAATATGAAAATTATTTCGAAGACTCAGTTCTATGAATCAACCTAGTTTAACAATAAAGAAGGCTTGTTGTAAATGCAAGTAATAAGCAACTAAAAGTAATTCAGGCAAACGTAGCTGCCAGTAATTGGTGTAAAACTTTTTAGTATATATTTTGTTGTTATACGTAACAATGCCTCAATAGAAGGCAAAAGACCACGTTGAAGGCCAAAAATGCAGAAGGACTGATAGAATCAACAAAGATGCAACATCTCTGCGTGCAGATAAATGGAAAGAAACAGGCCAAGACAGGCAGAGATGAATCAGGCTAGTTAAGGCGGCAAAAGATCTAGATGGTCTGAAATGCTAACAGAAAAAAAAAAAAAGTTGGTTTGTAAATATTGTACATATTTATTTCTACATTCTATAATTATTTTTCAGTAAAGTTTAAATTTACAAAATTTATTTTACGTGGCTGAGTATCAAGAATGATAGTTTTTCTCCAGCAATGAAGAACTGAATGCGAATAGGTTTAGGAATAAAATTATAACTGATTAGCTTTGAGTAGATACAGTTTGAATCTGGTTTCAGAGAGGATCCAGTTTTATTGAGAAACATTTTTTTTTTTATCTCTTTCATTCGATTTAAAATGTTGTCAATATCAAAGCTATTGCAAAATCTCAACTCATGGTTTTACTTGAAGTGAGTTCTACAGGTAAATCAATCTAATATAGAACCACTATAGAGTGAATCGAGTTCTCTACAGGTCATGCCGGCCTTGGTTAGTAGATTTCAAATACGAAATTCTATAGGATCTTTTTTTTTTTATCTATTTTGCAATTGCAAACTAAAATGGACCGTTTTTTTTTTTCAATTTCTCATTGAAATAAACATTTTTTATTAAAATAATTGGTTTTTAGAAATAATAAGAACAGTCCATTTGATCATATATAGATTTTCGTTAAACACCTTGAACAAAAAAAAAAAAAAATCTATTACGAGGGTCTTCATTAAAATTTTGATTCAATTGAATATATTAATGAAATATTATGCGTGCTAAGCAAAATACCTAACTGTATCAACTTAATGAAAATAACAATGAGTAGGTAAGACCTTCCTAATGCTCGGATATTTGTGTAGAAAACATTTATAATTAATATTTAGGAAAAAACACCAGCGTTCTGAGGCTGAGACAGTTATCTATCCTGATTTGATTCACAAAATGATTTTTTAACTGAAACACGGCATTTCTTTTGATTTGATTTTTATTTTCGATGATACTTAAGTTCCGTACAATGCTGAACTTTATCCCATTGAGAGATTTTGTCTTTCCTAAAAGAGTATTATTTTTCTATTTACTAATGTAAATTGCTAATTCTTAGTGTATAAAATACAGAACGTTAGTAACTCGTAAAAAATTCATCTAAATATAGATATTTGGGCAAGTTCTTAAATCATTGATTGAACCACCTGTGGTTCAGCGGTGCTTCGGCTTTTATGGTGAATCAGCTGGATGAAATCTCAGTGTTGTTATATTTACTTCATATATTCAGTTTACTTTCCATCGGAATGAAACATGCAAACTGAGTTGTGTTTCAAATTCACTAATTCAGTAGCTAGTATTTTTTTATTTTTATGCGTTCACTAATCTTTCGCTGGAACCAACCAAATCGTTTCTAAATACAGCATAAATAGCATTAGGATCTATTGATGGAATCCATCGATGGAATTAGTGGTGAGCTTAGAAGCTTGCCCAGTTTATAATTTACTAATGTTAACTTTTAAAATTCTAATTTTTGTATTACGCAAATATTATGGTTTTTAATATTTAAACTCTTCAAACTCTATTTTATGCAATATATTATTTTCGATAGTTGGTTCAAAATCTTTTACAGATCTAAAAACTGGTTTATAGTGTCTATTCCTTGAAAAATTTAGATTTTCAGATCCGAGCCCTAGTGATAATATATTATTATCTAAACCATTAAAAATTTATATAATAATACAATACAGACTACTGTTGCAATATACTAATGGGTTATGTTTTTGACAAGTTATATAATTTTAAAAAAATAAGAATTATGTTATTTTTACTTTGGTTCCGAGATCATCTTTTTTATAACATATTTTTTAAATGATACATTTTAGATTATTAAAAAAAAAGATATTTTATATAATATATTTTGTAACATCTTTTTATTCTAAAATTTATGTAAACTAATAACAACATTAGTAGTGGATGTCTATAGTGAGGAGGATGTAGTGTCAAATACTTGAAGAAATTCAAACATAATGTTATAACGAACGAAAACCAAGTTGACGAAGAAATGAAAGCTAGAAACGAGAACGGAAGGTAATACTATTGGTCGCACCACAAGGTATTCCAAAACAAAAAGATACACCGAAACCTCAAAATAAAGGTATATAAAACGATACGTCGTACTGTTGCCATGTATGGTAGTGAGACGTGGACCAAGCAGCAGGAGAGGTTGCTGAGTACATGGGAGAGAAAGATTCATAGAAGAATGTATGGCCCTGCCAAAGAAGGAAGTCAGTGCCGCATAAGAACCAATGCAGAATTTTAGGACTTACATGGAGGACCTATCACAGTTTCTTGTATTGAAAAGGAAAGAATAAGATATGGATGGGGAACCTTTATCAGATGGAACAAAACCGACTCTCCAAGTAAATAATGGAAGAACGACCAGATGGAAAAAAGGAAGAGGCGGGCCTAGACTACAATGGTTGACGACATAGAGGAAGATCTGAAGTCGCAGAGAGTGAGACATTGGAGAGAAGCGGCAGAGGATCGGTCTGATTGGAGGAAAATTGTCGAGGAGGCCAAGGTCCTTCATGAACCATAGCGCCAATGTAAGAAGAGGAAGAACTATTTTGGTATGTGCGAATAGGTAACTATATAAATATCTTAGGTTTTGGGTCAATAAATTTTACAAACACTTGAACAAGATTAGTGTATTTTAACCCTTACAACAGTAATTAACTTTTTCAGTGTTGTATTGATCTATAGGATATTGATGATATTTCTTGCACAAGAAATAATGAAATCTCTTTATTCCAGGTCTGTAACATAACTGGAAAAAAGATAAAAAATAAAAATCTTCAATAAATATTATTAATATGGATAATAAACAAATTATAGCTACCAAGATATACAATTCTAAATAAAATTCAGAAGAAATGAAGGAATTTAACATTGATTAGAAAATAAGAAATTTTAGAAATATCACCTCGAATTTGAAGTACAAATCGGAAAAAAATATTAACATAATTTCTAAAATCGTCCCCCAACGGCTCTTAAATAAGTTTAGAATATTTTAACTGCTAGGAACTAATTGTGAATCTATATACAATTATTTTCATTCTGTAGATGTTATGCATTTGATTGAATATAGCAGAAATTTCTGGCTGGTAATCTATATGCTTTGAGGATAATATTGAAGAAAGTTCAGAATAATTGGTTTTGTAAATCATTCTCATATTATTTTTATTTTATGCATCCTAAATATCTTTATTGAATATAGAAGTTTTTTTTCTGTTTG